TCCAGGTTACATGGCTGGAAAGTGGTCTAACCTGGCGGTCCTGGCGGTGTGGGCTTCTAACCCCTGCTATACCATAACCCTGATTGAGCAACTATTTTGTATGCTAGCCAGCAAGCTCTGACATTTCCGTACTTAACTCCCTTCAGTCTTGGAGGGATGGTTGCACACACCCATTATACAGACAAACAAACTGAGACTCAACGATGCCAGAGCCGGGTTAGGTTGCTTCAGGGCTGGGCTGTTTCCCAGAGGCCAGAGGGGCAGGGGCAGAGACCACCAGGGCTCGGCCCCCACTCCCGAGGACTCACCACTTGTCATTGTTGATCTGGTCCCCGAAGCCGGGCGTGTCGGTCACGGTCAGCTTGAGCTTCACGCCCTTCTCCTCGATGACTGTGTGGGGAGAGCAGAGTGGAGCGAGACTGGCGGGGGTGGAGTGGAGCGGGATGGGGAGGGGGGTGGGGGGCTACTCACTGTGCGTCACCGACTGCAGCTTCAGCGTCTGGGGTATAGGTGTCTCCAGGTCCAGCGCAGTGGACTTCCATATCTTGGACTTGAAGAGGGTGTTCACCATTGTGGACTTGCCCAGCCCGCTCTGCCCTGGGAGTAACGGGGGGACAGCAATGGTGGTGGACGTTTTAGCCAGTGCTTCTCAGGCTCTTAAATAGTTTTAGAAAGTGAACTGTTTTGTAAGCATAACATACAGAGGGGTGGGTAGTATCGTCAGGGTCCCCCTCAATGTTAACCCCCCCCTTCTTATTGAGGCAAAATTCATACAATAAAAAAAAAAGAACCATTAGTCACTTAAGGTGAATAATTCAGTGGTATTTAGTACATTCCTAGCGTTATGCACCCATCACCTCTGTCTAGCTCCTGTGAAAAATAACCTGCGTCATGGGGCTTAACCGACTGAGCCACCCAGTCGCCCCCCGGAAATGTGGTGTTAACTCGTAGGTCAGGAATTTTCTGGCCAGCATCAAGGAGGTTTGGTCACATGGGGCTCTCCATCCCCCAAAGGAAAGGGAGGTAAACCACCTGGGACCCCGGCTTGTCCCCTAAGGGAAAGCAGCCTTGCCTGGAACAATCCTTCCTTTTGCTAATTTTCCTTGCACCGCCCCCCTCCCCATTTCTTATAAAAACCTTCCAAAACAACAACGACAAAACAACAGCCCCAAAGCCTTATAGCACAGCCCCGTGGAGCTCCCCTCTACTTGTTGGATGGGATGCTGCCCTACTCACGAACCATGTAATAAAGCCAATTAGACCTTCCAACTGACTAGGTTAAATTTAAACATTTTTCTTTATTTGAAGTAGGCTCTGGGGCGCCTGGGTGGCTCAGTGGGTTAAGCCTCTGCCTTCGGCTCAGGTCATGATCCCAGGGTCCTGGGATCAAGCCCTGCATCAGGCTCTCTGCTCGGCAGGGAGCCTGCTTCCTCCTCTCTCTCTCTCTCTCTGCCTGCCTCTCTGCCTACTTGTGATCTCTGTCAAATAAATAAATAAAAATCTTAAAAAAAAAAAAAGAAATATTTGAAGTAGGTTGAAGTAGGCTCCATGCCCAGCATGGAGTCCAATGTGGGGCTTGAACTCATGACCTTGAGATCAAGACCTGAGCTGAGATCAAGAGTTGGACACACGACCAACCGTGCCACCCAGGCACCTGTGAATTTTGTGTGTTTGTTTTTTTAACAAAAACAAACACTTGAAACAAACACTTGCAAAAAAAATTTGCAAAAAAACCCTAAAACAAATCATTTGCATTGCTCCCCAAGAAACCCCACAGCCATTGGCAGCCCGTCCCTGTTCTCCCCCCATGGTCACCCTTGGCAACCACGAATCTGCTTTCTGTCTCTGTGAATTTACCTATTCTGGACATTTCCTACAAACGGAATCATGCAATGTTTGTCCTTTTGTGTTTGGCTTCTTCCCCTAAGTATCCCATTTTCAGGGTTCATCCATGTCATACCAGCTGTGGGGCCTTTGTTCTTTCCCATGGCTGGATAATGTTCCATCACAGGAACAGACCACATTGTGTTTATCCACTCAAGCTGATGGGCAGTTTAACGCATTTCACAAATTGAACAGCTCATGGACGTAGAGATGGAGCAACAGCTCCCCACAAGCCTGCTCACGCCCCATCTCAGTAGCTATAAGCCCCAAGACCCCAGGGACAACTGCTTACTGCTCTGACTTTCGACAGCTGGGCACGGTTCTGCTTCCCCTTGTCTTAGGGAATCACACAGTGTGTGCTCTCCTGCCTGGCTCCTTTCGCTTGATGCTATTTGGTGAGATACACCCAGACTGTCTGTTGTTGTAGACGGTCCATTCTCCCTGCTCTGGGGGCTTCTCAAACTCTGCGGACCACACCTTGCAGGAGGGAGCACCTTGCTTCACAACCACACACCTTTGTGTAGCAAATGGACGTGGTCCTTAGGGATGAGCTATCCTATCTGGGAGTCATACTTGGCTTCTGCCACCAGCAATACAGCAAAGCAGAATTGAGCTGTGTGATCCGCGGCAAATACAAACCAGATTTTGCAGCCCTGGGTTTGCCAAAAAGAATGCAAAATGTCTCATGGATCATTTATTACGTGAATTACATGTCAGGTCACGATAGCGTTTGGGAATAGTCTGGGTTACATAAAATAAGTGGTTATAATTAATTTCTCCTGTTTCTCTTCACTTCTTTAAAGGTAGCTACCGTAAATTTAAAAAATGATGGTACATAGCTCATATTATGGTTCTGTTGGACAGCAGTGCCTTAGAATAGTACTCTTCATGGGTGCTACGTGCTCCAACCTTTTATGTTCTGTTGTAGCTTTTTTGTTTTGTTAAAATTGTAGTTTTGGCCTACAAAATTAATTTTGCATATATAAAAAGGCAGTTCTGGAGAACCTCCTGAACGCCAGGCCCTGTGCTAAGCCGGATGAGGAAAGAGGGCAGAGAGGGGTCGGGGAAGGTGCACAAGGTCACCCACTGGTAGGTGTTAAGGGCTGGGACCAGGATCTGGGTCTAGGTGTTCACCACTTCCTGCCACAGCCTCCCCTTTCATTGCTCGGTTTGGGTTTGACTGGGGCTTTCTGGGTAATTCTTGTCTTTTAATGCCTCAGGGTTTCTAGATCTTCAACTATGACACCTGGTAAAAGGGACCATTATCAGGCCCTTTACGGATAGGGAGACTGATGCTCAGAGAGGTGAAGTGATGTGCCCAGGGCCCATAAGGTTGCACTCGTTGGTCTGTCCTGTGAGTGCCCGCCCCTCACTCACCCACTACCATGATGTTGAACTCAAACCCCATCTTCATGGCCTTGATCTTCAGTTGGTCCAGCACAGCATCAATGCCCACGTAGCCAAGTGTCTCGCAGGGTAGGGTCCTGGGGCTGGAGGGTCTCGATGAGCAGGGGGAGGGGGACTGCCTCATGGGTTCCATGGGGCCAAGGACACAGCAATGCCTGTCATCCAGGTGGGTGGGAAGAAGGGGGTCACTGGGGCCCCAGAGGGGGACCCCTGAATTCTCATTTCTGGACTCTGGCTCCTGAGCTCTGTTGCCAGGCACCCCCCACACACGATACCTCGTAATCTACCCATCCTCCACATCTCCCTGGCTCAAGGGCCTTGGGGTGAGGTTCCTGGAGGAGCTGCCTTTCAGGGGAGGCTGAACCCTTCCCTGAGATGCACAAGCCCACGAATCTGTTCCTCCCCCACCAATCCCCTCCCCCAGCTTCTTCCCGCCCCCACCCATGGTCCAGGCAGGATACGTGCTCGGCTACTCCCCACCACCTCCTACAGAATGTGACCAGCCTGGCAAAGCCCAGGGTCTGGACCCGTGGGGACAGAGAGAAAGGGAGAAGCAGCTTTTGTGTGGCACCTGATGACCTTGGGACTCTGAGGGAGCTTCAGGGGGCTGTTCTGTCCTGGCAGACCCTGGAGAGTGTGGTGAGGGAGACAGGACAGGGTGACAGTTAACTGAAGAATCTGAGCTCCACCCCTTTCCCCTCAAGGGAGTGGGGGGTGGGGGGGGGCTCCTCTACAGCAGGGAGCTGAAGGCAGGGACAGGTAAGATCCTCCAAGGTCCTTTCTGAAAACTACCCTAAATCCTTACGGCGGCCCCCGCCTCCTGTTACACAGACAGAGCCCAGGGCCTCTGGGCAGTTCCCTCACCCAAGGTCACCTAACTGGGCTAAGCGGGCTTCAGCTGGTCCCTCTGACTTCCAAATTCATATCCCTTAACCCCTCTGCTGGGAGAAGCCAACCTGTGATCCATAGCCGGAAAGCAGAACATCTGTGTGTCCTCTTCCGTCTGTCCACTGCTGGTGCTAGCACTGAAAATCCAAAGACTGATGTAGGAAACAGTTGCCCCACACGTAGTCTGTGCATATGTTGCTCTGGGGGCCCTCTGGAGCAGGCGTTGTTACTCCCTCCAGTTTACAGAGAGGGTCTGACCCAGGTGTTCAAGGTCACCTAGTGAGGAAGTGGTAGGGTGGGTGGGATCTGAGTCCATGTTCTCACCTTCTAACGCCTCTTTTCTTGTTCACAGGAACATCTAGAATTCCAGTGTATCTTCGAGAATGAAAGCCCTGGTGATTCTGGCCCAGCCCACAGCTGATGAGCTGCCCTCTGTAGCTGGGCCATGAACTCTCCACTATGCCGTAGTCCTCACCCCTCCCTAAAGTGTCCCTGATAAGATGTTTCCTATACCAAATCCACCTGACTCAGTTCTTTCCTACCTGTTTCCTGGCGTGTAAGCAGTCCTTGGTGGTGCTGGCAAACATCTTCTCTGAAAGCCTGTGTGTCATAACATCTCTATGGCATGTACCCTTCAGCCCCGTTGTCTGAGCGGGAAAGCAGCCACGGACAGGCAAAGGGTGTGGCTGTGTGGCCTTAAAAGTATTTACAAAAGCAGGAAGCAGCCTGCTGACCCTGCTCTGCCTACGGGAACTCACCGAGTCCGCCCCAGTCCACTCACCTCCACTGTCCTGAGTCCCAGCTAGCTTCTGTCCCTCTGTACCCAGACCCTTCTGCTCCCCCACCTTCTACACATCTATAAGGCAGAGGCTCAAACTTCACCTTCACGACTTGAGGCTGGGCAGGGCCTGTGGCGGGAGGACTGGGCAGAGCCTGGCCTGGAGCAGAGAAATCTCTCAAGCCATCAGTCCCCAGCTCTGGAGGGATACCGGAGCCTGGCCTCCTCCTCAAAGCAAATGAGAATGTTATGTGTGGACAACTGAACAGTACTGGGGACTGCTGGACTGGCCCTGAGCAGGAGGAGATCTGGCCTCTGGAAATGTCCCTTAAGGAAGTAAGCCACTCTGGAGAGAAGACCCCTCCCCCTCCCAAAAAATCACATGTGAGTGTGGGTTCTGAACAATTTGTGTTGGGGAGCAAGGCTCAGTGGGTGGCCACTCTCACTGCAAGCGAGATGATCAGGTTTGCAGAAAGCAGCAGTCACCTGCAAGGTGCCCTTGGCTATGCGGATTGCAAAAAGCCCAGGGTAAAGTGATCTGAGCAGTGTGAGCCTGGCCGCTGAGCCCAAAGGTATACGAAGAACAGAAGACTGGGGGGGAAATCACACCCACAATTTGGTGAGTAACACACGGCCATCTAGTGTGTATTTCTAGAGCGTCTCATCGGTCTAAGAAGTGTTAATGCAGATTATTCCGTTCAATCTTAAGACGAGAAGGGGGATGCTATGTATACACCCATTTTACAGAAAAGGATACTGAGGCAAAGAAGATCAGGGATTGTGCCCCAAGGTCACACACTGGTGGGCAGTAAGGGCTGGGAGCAGGATCCAAGTCTGGGGGATCTAACCCACGTGAAATATGTCCTGCCACACGACCCCCCCCATCATTGCTCTGCTTGGGTCTGGGGGCTCTCATGGGGGTTTTTGTTTTTTAACAGCTTAGAATGTCCCAGATTTTCTTTAATGAAAATGTCTTACCTCCCCACCCCCACCATGGGGAGGTCTTACTTTCATAATGGGAATGAAAAACAAGAAACAAGGGTCTGGATGGGAAGTCTAAGGGTCAGTGGGGAGAGGAGCAGACAGAAGGCCTCTTGCCCACCCAGCCCGGCCAAATGGTGGGGGGACAGGGGCCACAGCTGCGGACCCCAGGGAGCAGGGGCAGAGGGAGAGAATCTGAAGCAGATTCTATACTAAGCACAGAGCCCGAGGCAGGGCATGGAGCTCACTTTGGGGCTCAATCTCACAACCCTGAGATTATGACCTGAGTTGAAATCAAGAGTCAGATGATCAACCAAATGAGCCACCCAAGAGCCCCAGTGCTTCCCTCTTTTTAAAAATTGAGGTAGGGCACCTGGGTGGCTCAGTGGGTTAAAGCCTCTGCCTTCAGCTCAGGTCATGATCCCAGAGTCCTGGGATCGAGCCCCACATCGGGCTCTCTGCTCGGCGGGGAGCCTGCTTCCTCCTCTCTCTGCCTGCCTCTCTGCCTACTTGTAATCTCTGTCTGTCAAATAAATAAATAAAATCTTAAAAAAAAAATTGAGGTAAATGGTGGCTCGGTCAGTTAAGCATCTGCCTTTGGCTCAGGTCATGATCCAGGGGTCCTGGGATCGAGCCCTGCATCGGGCTCCGCACTCAGCGGGAAGCCTGCCTCTCCCTCTCCCACTCTCCCTGCTTGTGTTCCTTCTCTCGCTGTCTCCCTCTCTGTTAAATAAATAAATAAAATCTTAAAAAAAAAAATTTGAGGTAAAGGGGCTCTTGGCTGGCTCAGTCAATAAAGTGTGCAACTCTTGGGCTCCGGCTGTGAGTTCAACCCCATGTTGGGTGTAGAGCCTACTTAAAAATAAGTAAGTACGGGCATCTGGGTGGCTCAGTGGGTTAAGCCTCTGCCTTTGGCTCAGGTCATGATTTCAGAGTCCTGGGATTGAGCCCCGAGTCGGGCTCTCTGCTCAGCGGGGAGACTTGCTTCCCCCTCTCTCTCTGCTTACTTGTGATCTCTCTCTGTTAAATAAATAAATAAAATCATTTTTAAAAAAATAATAAGTAAAATTGAGGTAAAATTCACATAAAATTAAACCTTATCTGTTCTTTTTTAAAAAAATATTTTATTTATTTATTTGACAGAGAGAGAGAGATCACAAGTAGGCAGAGCAGCAGGTGGACTGGGGGAGGCTCCCTGCTGAGCAGAGAGCCTGATGTGGGGCTCAATCCCAGGACCCTGAGATCATGACCTGAGCCAAAGGCAGAGGCTTAACCCACTGAGCCACCCAGGCGCCCCATCTGTTCTTTTTTTAAAAGATTTATTTACAGAGTATCTGGGTGTCTCAGTCCTTAAACGTCTGTCTTGGGCTCAGATCATGATCCTGGAGTCTTGGGATTGAGCCCTGCATCGGGCTCCCTCCTGTGCGGGAAGCCTGCTTCTCCCTCTCCCACTCCCCTTGCCTGTTTCCCTCTCTCGTCTCTCTCTCTGTCAAATAAATAAAATAAAAAAAAAAGATTTATTTAAGTATTAGAGAGAGACAGTGGGGTGGGGGAGGATCACAGGGAGAGAATCTTCAAGGAGATTCCCTGCTGAGCACAGAGCCCAACTTGGGGCTCAATCCTAGGACCCCAAGATCATGCCTTGAACTAAAACCAAGAAGTCGCACGCTCAACCGACTGAGCCACTCAGGCACCCCCCTCCCCCACCGTTATCCGTTCTTTCTTTCGAGCAGATAAGTGGCAGACCAGAATTGAGTGCATTCACAATGTCATAATGCCACCACCCCTGTCCTGTTCCTGGACATGTTCATCACCCTAAAGGACATGCCATCAGCACTAAACACTCCCTCCCTTCCCCACCCCACCCCCGAGTTCCCCAGTCCCTGGCTAGTGCTAGTCCCTGGATGTGCCCGTTCTGGACGTCTCCCGGAAACAGAACCCCACTCTGTGTGGCCCTTTGAGTCTGGCCTCTCTCACCGTGTGGCATGTCTTTGAGGGGCATCCGTTTTGTGGCAGGTGTTAGGACTTCATTTTTCTGTGTGGCTGAGGAAGGGTCCGGTATGGACAGATCACATGGGCTGTTCCCACCTTTTGGCTCTCGAGATGAGTGCCGCTGTGAACATTTGTGCCCAAGTCTTTGAGAACCTGTTTGCAGTTGTCTTGGGTCTATACCTGGGAGCGGAATAGCTGGGCGTTTGCTATCACCAGCGTGTGACCTTTTGAGGCACTACTTGACTGCTTTCCACAGTGGCTGCAGCCCTGCCTCTCCTTTGGCAATAACACTCTGGTTGCTTCAAAATGACCCTGCCTCTTGCAACAGGGCTCAGAGACGTCGGAATGGGATGGAGGGATTGTAGGGACCCAGGGCAGGAGACCCTAGAATATGGCGGTCAAGGGCTCTGGAGTCTGAGTGCCTGGGTCCCAGTTCTGGCTTCTCTGCTCACTCTAGGTATGGCCGGCAGGATCATTGCCCCCCCCCCCCTCCCCCGAGATGTTTTCATCCTCATCCTTGGAACCTCGGAGCAAATATGTTAACTTACCTGGCAGAAGGGACTTTGCAGACGTCATTCTGATCGTGAGGTCATCCTGTGGGCCGATGTCATCACAGGGGTCCTCGTCACAGGGAGGCCAGAAGGGTCAGGGCCGGAGAAAATGAGGATGGAAGCAGAGACTGCCCGCTAGGAGCTAGAAAAAGCAAGGAACAGCTCGTCCTCTAGAGCCTTCAGAAGGAACACAGCCCTGCTGTTGTTTCAGACTCTGACCTCCAGAACCGTGAGACAATAAATTTGGATTGTTTGAAGCCGCTAAGTGCCGGGGTGATATGTTCTAGTGGCAACAGGAAATGGGTACATCGGGTGTGTGACTTGAGCTGGTTGCTAGACTTCTCAAGGTGGCGCCTTTCCTATCTGTATGTGGGGAGAATGGGAATAGCCCGTTCAGGATTGCTGCAAGGACACATCTGGTAGTGGGTGTACGGTGGTCTGGTTGATCCGGAGCCTGACACTAGCTGAGATGTTGTCCCCTGCTAGACCACAAGCCCCAGAAACTGTGTCCACCTGGGGCATGGCCGACCTCAAGTGCTGAGCGGTCCTGGGCCCTTGGTGGGCCTGGATCCATGTGTGCTGAAGGAAGGGAGAGTGAGAGCTGCCTTTGTGGTCAGCATCAGGCCCCCAGGTCCCCCAAGTCCCGGGGAAAGAGCTTGTTTGAGAGGACAAGCATCTTCTCGTAAGGATTGACCTGAAGATGAGGATACAGCAAACAAGGACACAGAAGACTCCTAGTACGATGCCGGCAAATGCCACCTGCCCAGGAAAGGGATGTGGAATGGAAACCACGTTTCCCTCCGTCTTTACTCATGAAGTCCACAGCGGCCCAGGGCGCACTGTGTTCCAGGCTGCTTGTCTGGTCTACAGAGAAAACATGAAAAATCCCGGAAGGAAGAGAGTTTCAGGGCCCGTGGCTCCCTCTGTGGGTCCTGCAGCACCTGCTGCTGTGGGGAGGCTGTGAGCACACCTGCTAGGGCACAGGCCCCGCCCTCTGGAGTCTGGCCGCCCCCTGGGAAGGGTGGGACCGGTTGCCAAGGTGCCAGGGCCTCAGGCGGCACCTAGGATCCGGAAGCAGGAAATAGTTGGTGTTCTCAGGACCTGCCTGGCTGGGGGAGCTCCGAGGCTGGTGGGGGTCTGGGGTGGGGCTGCCGGGGTTGGGGGGTAGTGGGAAGGGACAGGGCAGGGGTGGAGGGGTGGTGTGGGACAGGGCAGGCACAGGGCAGGGGCTGGACTGCGGGAGGCCTGGATGCCGCCCAGTCCCAAACAACAGGGTTCTGAAGCAGCCCTGGGGGGCCGGGGCAGGTGGCACCCAGAGGCCTCGAGCGGAGATGGACTTGGCAGAAGACCTGGAGAAAGAGCTGGAGACCACAGCCCAGGAAGTGCTGGGGAAACTCAGGAGCGGTGAACTGTTCCAGTCTAACTGGGACACTGCTGCCTTCATCATCTTCCTTATCTTCCTCGGTGAGTGTGGCCCCGGCCTCTGGCCCCCCTTGGCCTCCTGTCCTAGGCCTGGCCGAGGGCCATATCTGGACACGCGTTCCGCCCCCAGGCACCGTGTTGCTCCTGCTGCTGCTGGTCTGTCTCCACTGCTGCTGCCACAGCTGCTGCAGCCGCCGCGCCTCCAGACCCCGGAAGGTGAGCCCCGAGCAGGTGAGGCCCGCCGGGCAGGTGAGGCCCGCCAGCGGAGGCAGCAGCCTGGAACTGCACTGGGGAGAGGGGGTGCTGGGGCTCCTGTGGAGAGGGGCTGGCCAGGCACACACAAGGGAAGCCCGGCCAGCCCCCGTGCCTCTCTTGCAGGAACACCGCAGGGGAGTGGATAACTTGGCCCTGGAACCTTAACGCAGCGAGCCCCCCAGCCCCCCTGTCCGTGTGTCCTGCTGGCACAATGCCGATGCCTTGGTTGTCCGGAATGTGTTCTGAGCTTCCCTTCAAGGGGTGGGCAGTGTGGGCACTCGATGCTTTCTCCGGATGCCCACCTGCTCCCCCACGGCTTTCAGCGGGCTGGACTGTCGCTCCAGGTCCCACAGCAACTGCTGACAGCAGGGGAAGCTGGGCTCCAACTCAGTGGCCCGAACCCTGAGGCCGAAACCTTGTCCCCAGCCCACTCAGTGCCTTGGCAGCCTGGAGGACCCCCTCAAAGGTGGGACAGGAGGCCAGGGGCTCCGTCGTGGGGTACTCCACCCAGGTGCTGATGATCAGGGATCCCCAGCTTGGTCCTCACTCAGACAGACAGACAAGACGCTCCAGGTAAAGTCAGATGATCTTTATTTCCTGGAGGCCTTGTCAGGGATGCGGAGCAAACACATTCAAGGACACCACATCGAGGCGGTGGATGGTTCTGTCTGCCCTCCTGACTCCCAGCTTAGGGCCCTTGCCCACTCCTCACCCTCCAACAGAGGGGAAAGTATGGCTGCCCGTCACCATCCTGGGGCAGGTCAGAAGGCAGAAAGAGGAGGGAGGAGGAGAGCCCTGGGCCTGGCGCCACCCCAAGTCCAAAGGTTCCCGCTGTGAAGGGAGGGCAGGGTTTGGAATGTGGGCCACCTCTGGGCTCTGCCTTCCTGACCACCCCCAGTAAAAGAAAAAGCAAGCCAGCATCCCTGTCTCTCCGTGCTTCCAGTGCTCATTTCCATCTGTGCAAATGTGATGAGCAGGATGGGGCAAAGAGAGAAATAAATAATAGCCCATGCCGCCTGGTTCTGGCTTTGGCCAACGTCCCTGGGGGGGATGGGTGAGGGGGACAGGGGCCATTTCCCTGGGGGTCAGGCTCTTGGGTGCTCTGCTCAGAAAGGCCTGTAGCTCCAGTAGCTGGAGAACACGGAGATCTAGGGAGGGAGAGAGGTGGGGGGACATGGTGAGTGGAGGTGTTAGGGGGCTTGGCCCCTACTGTAGCCTGTGACCCAGGTTCAAGGTCATTCAGGGGCAATGTGTCAGGGAGAGGATATTGCTGCTCAGCCACACCGTGGCCCATCTGCTCGTGTGTGCAGAAGGTACAAAGGACGTGAAGATTTGGGGGTGCTTTGGAGGTGTGACAAGAGCCCCTGGAATCCCTCCAAAATGAAATGACTTAGTAGCCTAGTATCTGCTGGCCCCATCTGTCTGAGAGGCCCGCCCTGCCCCCACAGTCCCCACAGCCCACCTTATCCTTGAGCTGCTGGCAGAGCTGCAGGGACACAGTGAAGAAGACCAGGGCGTCGTTGAGCCATGGGATCACACACTCTACCTTATGCACGTGGCTCACCTCCAGGCGCTGGGAGCCCCACTCGCTGGGGGAAGAAGGAGGGTCCCTGGGGGTGGCCTGATTAGCCTGGCCCCCCGGCCCCCAAGGTGTGGAAGGTTGGGGCGGGCAGGGAGCTGCAGGGCACCGTACTTACAACATGGCCCCGGGGCTGTGGAGCACGGCGCCTCCCGCGGGGCGGAAGTTCTAAGCAGAAGAGCATCAGACCCAGTCAGGCCCGAGAGGCTGCAAGGCACTTGGGGGTGGGGGGGCGAGTGGGGTCCCCCTCACCTTGGTGGAATTGGGCTGCAGGGTGTGCAGCTGGTACACGGTGAGGCAGAGCTTATTGAGGTTGATGTAGACATTGACGAGCAGGTCGGAGGGCAGCGCTGGGGCAAACATCCGCTGGGGACAGGGACCAGGCAAGCAGGTGGCATGAGGGCCAGGCAGGCACAGATTCCCCAGGACCGCCTGGGGGACCCCATGCCCCAGCCCATGGACTGGGGCTTCCAAACTCTTCCCAGGTGCCCCGGGGAGCTTCCTGCACCAGGCTCGGGAACCACTGACCCAGACCCGGGGTATTTGGGGGATGCAAGACGGAGGCCCAGAAAACTGCACAGACCTAGACCTTCGACTGACAACAGTTTGGGGTTTCCGGGACCCCGTCACACCCGTGTCCCTCCCAGGGGCAAGCTGGGCTCCTTGGTGAGGATTCCCTCCCCAGAGCAGGGGCCAGCCTAAGGCACTGACCGTGAGGCCACTGGCAGCGATCTCAGGCAGGGTAAGGGTGGCTGGCGTGGTGAGCCGGTTGCGGGCTCTGGTCAGCTGCAGCATCACAGCGTCCATCAGCTGCGGGGAGGTGGCCGGTCACAGCTGCTGCGGGGGCAGCCCCCACCCTCTCACATCAGGGAAGGACCAAGTCATGGTAGCGCCCAGCTCCTGCCTGTGTGGTCCCACTCTCACGGCCTGAACCCCCACAGTGTAGGGCTTGTTCAAGGGGCGGATGTTTGGGTTCCAGCTGCGGGTGGGGGATGGGACGTCTGCACTGCTGACCATCTGTGTAGGAGGTTCTACTGCATGGGGTCCCGGGTGCTGGTCCAATGGGGAATGGAAGACGGAAGCTCCCTGGAGTTACTCCCAGGGGCATGAGGTCTTTGTGGATGGGGGTGCAGGCAATGAAGGAGCTTAGAGGAAGGGGCCGTAATCCAGGCTGGGTGCAAGAAGCCAGGGGAGGCTTCCTGGAGGAGGTGATAGGATGGGTAAGTTGAGGTCTTAAGGTGGGCACCAGCCCCGTTTTCAAAAGTAAAGTTCCAAAGTGGTAAGGTCACATAGCTAGTCAATGGTGGAACCATCTGGAACTCATCCTTTTCCTTTGACAAGGACCAAAGCTCTGGCCAGAACTCCTCAGAGCCCCAATTTCCACCGCTTCCAGATATTGTCATGGGAATGGGACTGGGGGTGACCTGGCTTCTAGGAAAGGGAAATTTTGGGTGGAGGCCTGGGGGCCGCACCGCCTACACCCAGGGTGGTCACAGTTCTGGGAGGGACCTCAGTCCATCTAGTTGTAAGTTTTCCTAGAGGACCCAGAGGTCCAAAGAGGGTAAGTGAATCACCCAAGTGAGGGACAGAGCTAAAGCATGAATCTGAGGCGTGTCAGGGCAGCCCACCCCTCCACACCATGTGAATTCACTTTGCGAATTACAAGGGTTTCTCTCCGTCTAGGAGGGCTACTACTTCCTGAGCATTCGCCACGGGCTGCTTCGCCTGCATCATCACAACTGCCAGTCATGACACCAGCACCCTTTTGTAGGTGAGGCTGTTGAGGCACAGAATGGCTAAGAGAGTGACCTGGGGCTGCACAGCTCAGTGGAGCCCTGGGATCAGAGCCCAGGTCTGCCTGGAGCCCAGGCTGTGAATCATTTGACTGACTGCATGGACAGGTCTATCAAGAGGTGACGGAGCGACCACTGGCTGCACCTGAGGCTGTTGGGGGCCGAGCTCTCCAGGGGCCTGGTCAGGACCAGGAGTAGGGATCCTGCTTCTCCTGCTCCTGCAGGCAGCTCACCTTGAGGACCTCTGCTCCTGTCCTGAACTGGTAGCTTTCATCCCGGTTGGCGAGGAGGTAAATGGCCTGGCTTACATGGTTCCTGGCATCCTGGATCTGAAAAGAAAAAAAAAAAAAAAGCCCACTGCAAGGTCAGTGGGCTGGGCCTCAGGAGGAAGAGACGCCAACTTCAGAGTAGCCACAGTGTCCAGGGCCCCCGATGACAGGGCCTCACTCTGAGGGACTGTCCTCCTGGGAGGGCTGGGGTGGGTCTCGGCTGCTTGACCCCTCTCCGCCAGCTGTCCCCTCTGTGCCCACTGAAAGCCAGGCCCTGCCGGGGTGTTGGGCATATGGCACAGACTGGCAGGCCTGCCATCATATAGCTCACCTTCTAAAGAAGGACAGAGAGTGGCAGAGCAAAGGCACAAGAGGACAACACACTGAGTGACTTGCATAAGGAGAAAAGGGTGACTGCAGGTTGGGGGAGGAGGAGCCTCTTTAGATGGACGTCAACGGAGGCCCCAGGGAAGTGCCTCTTGAGCATCACCCAGTGAAGAATAAAGCAGTGAGAGGGCTCCAGGCAGAGCGATGAGCATGGGCAAAGGCCCTGAGGTGGAGGGGCAGGGTCCAATCACAGAGGAGTGTGGAAGGTTGGGGCGGGCAACCCCCCGCCCCACTGGAAGCTCCTGGAGGCTCTGTGAAGGGTAGTTCCCCGTGTTTCCCACTGGGGCCCAGAGGCCTACAGACAGAGCAGGTTCCCACCTCCCTCCAGGCTAGACTCTGGCGTCCCAGGCACTGCCTGCCCCAGCTTTGCTGCTAGGAAACAACTTCCCAGGCTTGCTGCAGCCTTAAATCCCCCACGGCTACCCCAGGAGGCCTCAGTGCCGCTCAGGCCTGCCCCTGCCTGCCCTTGTGGCTTGAGCCCTGGCAGGAAAAGGGCCCGATTACCTGTTGCAGCTTCCACTGCTTGTCCTCTCGGAAGGCAAAGTGCAGCAGCTGGTTATTCCGGGGAATCTTCAGGTTCACGTCCTGACGGGCAAGAGTGTATAAGCAGGAGGACCCCTCTCCTGCTTATAGCCACTCTGAGCCCTCGAGCAGGGGGCAGACATGGCATGAGTGTGGTAGCTCAGGCCCCAGCCAATCTACAGGGCAGAAAATCTCCCATCCTCCCTGGCATTTGGGGTGTGAACAGGGAGGTCAGGAGACAGAAACTCAAGCCCAAAAGGAACCACAAAGAAATGAAAGGGAACAGAGACAGAAAGGGGAAGGTGGCCTTAGCTGGGAGGAGGTGGTGTGACTGTGGGCAGAAAGGGAGTATGGGTACAGGCCAATGGACTGAACACCCGCTACTGGAGGAGAGGAACCTTCCCCCACATCTTGGTGCCTGGCACAGGCGGAGCTCAGATGTTGGCTGATTCCACTTTGAACTGGGGCCAGCCTAATCCCTCCAATGCCCACGCTTCACTGGGCCCAGCCAGACTCAGGGCCAGGCCGTGTGCAAAGCATCCCTCTTCCTGCACCTCTCGCTAAAGCCACACACCAATTCCAGAGGACGTTTAGTGGGGTGGGTTGTTATTTTACAAGTGAAGAAACTGAGGCCCAGAGAGGTCAAGGATCCTACCCAGGGTCACAAAGCCAACGGGTAAAGGCAAAGCTCAGCAAGAGGCCCCCACACTCTTGCCCACTGGACCCTCCAGCAGCAGGGAAAGGGAAGAGGGGCTGGGGGACTCACCGCCTGGCTCAGCGCGTCCCCTTGCAGGGTCAGCACGCCCTTCACCTGGTCCGTGCTGCAACATGCGGGGGTCAGAGCAGGGCCTGCAGCTGCCCTTTCCCACCACCTCGCCCTCCCAGCAGGTTGCCCCTGCTGTCACAGGATGGCCCAGGTTGTCCCACAGCACACCCTCTGCATGTTGGGGCTGAAATCAGTCTGCATGGCAGGGCCTTGGCAGTACAGCCTCCCCTAGAGAGTATCCCAGGTGTCCCCCTCACAAGCTGTCCGTCCCTCCTGTTTCTGCTCAGCCCTGGCTCACCTACAGCTGCCGAGGATGAAGTTCTCTTGCTTGGCAGGCCCCTCGGTGCCTGCACCAGAGCACGGCAGAGTGAAGCGGAGCGAGGCCTCCTGGAGAGGCAGAGGAGAGTGGAGTAAAGTTGACCCAATCCAGCTCACCTCTCCTTCCAGAAGCCCCATTCCTGGGTTGGCTAGGGGAGGGACAAAGTAGGCTAGTTTTCCAACCTCCAGGGCACCTTCCCATGTCTCTGGCCCTTCCCCCACCACCTGAGTTTCAGGTCCTACCAGAGTGGATAGCTGTTGCTTTCACATTCCCTGGACGCCTACCGACTGCCCAACTCAGGGATATAGAACAGAGATGACCTCCAGGCTGGGTTAAGATGCTCGAGTGTGGGGGAGCAGAGTCAGGGAATGACGGTAC